AGTGATAATAATTGCCATTCTGTTTACCCTCCATTTCAGACGAGTTAAGCAAAGAGATCAGGGCGTGCGTGAACAAATCAGGTCTTCAGCACTATTTGAGGGTTGTGCAGATTCCTCCTCCAAACCTCAAGCAACTAGTGCGCAATCGGGCATATGACCAAGCTTGTGAAAAAGCGGAATGCATGATATGCTCCTCAAATAAGCCAGGGGACTGCATGCGTTCTGGGTCATATATCTGCTAACATGTAAGTTATGCGGGGATGAATAAATTGTTGAAACGGAAAGGCCGCTATGCATACAAGTAAGGGAGCTCTAGATTATTTGCGGAAAGCAAGCATGTGTACCCTCAGGACTCATCGCAAGCTGCGACATCGACTGAGCTTGAAATCCCGGTTCTGATTCTATCGCGAGAACCTTAGGTGACGCGCAAGACCCTAGAAGCCTGTTGGATTTCCACAACGAATCCAAAAAAGAATAGGAAAGAGGAATGATTTGCCGTAACACAAGGACCCACGCCGTTCCTAGATTTAAGCAGGTTCCGACTACATCCCCGCACACAATCCTTTTCAGGGCCCAACTCATTATTCACTCTGTGAATACGGTTTACGCCCTAGTTCATTTCCTCAACATGCCAGAATGAGCTGTCTTTCATAGGCTACATCAAAGCTTTTTCAACCTTATGAGCTTTCCCTGCAAGGGATAAATTTGAGAGGGTGTATCTCATTTTTCCTCACTTTCCAGGTTCTGACAAAAACGAATAAGCCGAGACGTAAGCCTAATAAGCCGTTATACCAATTTTGGGTTATGGCTCCAGGCTCAAAGAGGTATATAACGTTACCAAGACATCGAAATTCGAACATGGAGTATTGTGTAAAGTGAATTTATCTTGTTCTTAATTGGAATCTCTGCAACACACAGTCCTCTCACAATTCTAGCACCGCTATGTTAAGCATTGCCTTAGTCATCGTCTGGTAGTCTGTCCATGTCGTTCGCCAGAAATCATCCTCATTTTCCTGGCCGTCGCTAAAACCCTTTTGATAGCTATTATTCATACGCTTTAGCAGTTTAGAAGCTAGATAATTATCGCAGCTTTTTTTGCTCTCTGGCCTGTGTTGATGAAAATTCAAAAAATTGCCAAATTCGCTTTTATGTGTGTGTAGTTTGAGTGTAAGATACCAAATGGCGATATAAGATGCGCGTGAGCTTTGAGACCGAAACACACAAAATTTTCCGGCGAATCCAATACCCAAGTACAATCTGTTCACTGGGGCAGACATCTTCGCTGAGATTACGCGTCAAACACTGGAGTGGGTAGATAGGGGACGGTTTGAAGGGGAAACGAAGGACTTAAACCTAGGCGACGTTCGCGATTTTCCAATTAATCTGATTTATTGAGTCCAGCCCAGTGCTCTGGCTGAGAAGACGAAGTGCAAATATATGATTATGGAGTTGCTACATTTTTTCTGGTTAATCGATAACAAGGTCAAGTTTGTCTCTTTAATGAATAGATAAAAATCTCACGTACCGTGCCAACGCCATACTTGCAGTGGAGCCAGGAGGGATAGGCCGAAGACAATTGATGTTCATTCTGCGAATTGACGAAACTCATCATAATTTTCAATATATGGTTTCTGTTACCTGTCATAGGCAGAGGGTCCCCTGTGCGGAGCCAAATCCAACTTACACCCTACAGTGAGGATTGGAATGTGACAAGACTCTATATCAGCTAATAAGGAACGAGATGCTGAAGAGCCCATGGAACGAGGCTTCCCATCTATCAATGTAAGCCACTGGGACAGATTCTGAGATAGGCTATACGTTACTTGTAAAATGAAGTTTACCTTCTCGTACCTCTTCACTTTTCTTGTTGCTCAAATCGTGCACCAAAATCACACCTGCAGCTCCATCCAGAAAGACTGCTGAAGCGGCACGATGCGCACCTGAACCTCCAATATCCCAAAGTTCCATCAGTTCGGATCGTTGCTCGGAAGTGCCTTAAGATGAAAAATTAGGAAAACATATGTAGAGGTTAAAATTAATTCTACAGACCTGCCTTGTACTCATGCCACGCCATTGATATGGAAGCACCAATTGTACTGGGGCTGTCAGCACTGGGTCTTAAGCACAACATTAGCTATTTGCGAACCTGTGCAAAGAATTACTACTCAAACTGCGTCATGGTAATCTCCTACATGAAGCGGGTGGTAGGAACTTACATAAGATGGACCCCTAGCACAGCTTTAATCATCCTGATAAAACAAAACTAATTCTCTCAAAAAACAGCAACCAACAGGTTACTTCCTATCACCAATCAAAAACCCGGAAAAATAATTTTTTGAAAAAGTTATTGGGTAAAGTAAGTCTTTCCAAATACTTCAGGGCTCAACCTACCTGCGAAAAGTATAACAGTATAAATCTAGCAAAATAAGTCGAGAATGGCAAATTGCGAAAAAACTCACTTTCCACAAACAGCATTGACGAATGAAGTTTTTCCGACGCCACTTTCTCCAACTACAACTATTTTAGTCGAAGACATCACAAGATAAATTAACTAATCTATAACAAGTCATTCAATTATAGAAATTTTGAAGAAAATAAACGACGAACTTGAATTGATGGTCTAGCTTTCACAACTTCTAGACAGAGTGAACAAGAACAACACTCGAAGACACCGATATCAACAATTTTCTGAATCTGAAGCATATCTAACTGTATCCTCACGGTTATTCTGCAATAGCGATAAGATGTTTGCACACCTCCTCTAACGAGATCTCATAGTTGTCGCCGCAACGGCAGGGCTCCACTATAGGCTCGGTGTCGTCTTCACTAATCTCTATTCTCTCAGCGATTGTGCCCTTGTTTTTACGATAATTTTGCTCACGAAGCCAGTGATCGTACTCACGTCGTTTTGCGGAATCCTGAATTATACTATACAACCTCTATATATGAGTGATACTCACTTACTGAAGGGTTAGGGTCACTATGAAAGCTTTTTATTAGATACTGTTGGTGGAAAATAGTTTTTAAACTTCAATATACTTAACAAGAGACCCATAAGTTTTCAAAACCGTAAAAAATCAGCGCTTATAAGAATGATCAATTTATGGAAATTGTAGATACCGGAATTTCTAAAATACCCTCTAAAATCCCTGACCTCTGACAATGTATAGTCTACTCCTAAAAAAAAGATAATAAAAAAGGCAACGGGACAGCGCACTGGTACCTCAAAGTTGGAGCGCGTGAAAATCAGTAATCACTGCAGGCGTGAAAGATAAAAAGTGGATTTTTTGAAAGTTTTCTTCCTATTTTTCTTCACTTTCAACTTCAGCAGATTCCTCCCCTTCTCCATAAGATAGATAATGCAATCAACAGATTGGTCCCCTTCTCCATAAGATAGATAATGTAATCAAACTGATTTGGTGAATTGATGCCCTTTTTTTGTGAATCTTCAAACTCCATGCAGTTTCGCTATTTTATTATGAATTTCCCTAAGAAGTGAATTCGATGGTTACTGATCAGGCACTACAGTAGCTAAGTTGAAACATGTTGGGAGGGACGCAATGGCTGGAGCAGCACTGCATGTAAAGGCATGAGAAACTTGAATGGCGTGTCAAGCACATACGACATGCGACGAACAAAAATATGACGAAATTGCTGAAGTTTAAAGATCTGCGACAAAGAACATGAATCCATGAACTACTAAGCAAATAGACCAATCACTCGACCGAACACCTGCCAAAAGTCTTATGTGTCACCTGGAAAAGCCTGAAAATAAGAGCAGAATTTTTACTGAAAGCAACTTTTGTCTTCTGCGCCTGCAAAAATGGTACTGCGCCTCATATTGAAGTGCCGGCGCGCTCGCCCCATAACCTGCACACGAGCGACTTTGTTTTTTTGCCATAGAAAAGAAACGTATAGTCGGTTC